CTCCCGGCCACCAGGCGGCGATGCCCGAGCCCGAGCCCGAGCCTCCCGCGCGCCGGCCGCCGCTGACCCCCGAGCTGCGCGGCGTCCAAGACTACATAGATATGCGCAAGGAGCGCATCGTCTACCTCTTCCTGGAGCACTGGCGCAGGTGGACCTTCCGCGGCCCCGGGCGCCACGCCCAGGCGCGCCTACGCAGACTGCTGCCCCGAGTGGTGGCCGCCGGCGCGCGCCCGGCCCCCGACGCCACCAACGACCCCCAGCCACCGGCCGCCGACGGCCCCGACGGACGGCTGCTGCGCTTGCTCAAGCAGCGGCAGGCGGTGGGCAAACTGCTGGGCCACTGGCGGAGCCTGCTGCGGCAGGTGCCCGCCTGCCCGCCGGGCTCGGGCCTGTTGCACGGCCTGTACTGGCCCGAGCACTTCCTGCCGCCCCTCGACGGCGGCGCGTCCCGGCGCTACGACAGCCTCACGCTCGACCTCTTCATGCTCGGCTACTTCCAGCTGCTCGAGATGGGCCTGAGCCGTGAGGAGCGCAAGTTCCGCCACCTGCTGTGCTACGAGATGTTTGACCGGCTGGGCAGCCACCCGTGGGAGCTCATCCGCCTCTTCCACCGCGTGGTGCTGGAGGAGGTGGAGGCCGGCCGGCGCAGCTGGAGCGACGGCTTTGAGGACCTCAGGCGCCGGTTCTTTGGAGACAGCCCGGAGGCCGAGCCAGCCCCGGAAGATGAGGAGGCTGAGAAGGAGCAGGAGGAGGAGAAAAGAGAAGAGGAGGAGAGCGAGCCGGCGGAAAAGATCGCTTCGGCTCAGAGGGTGGACTGGCCAGAGGGGCAGCCCGAAGCCCCAGCCCCTGTGCCGAAGCCCCGCACCCCATCCCCGCCCGCTGCGCCGCCCCCCACATGGGACCCTCCTAGTTCCGAAGCCCCCACCGAAGATCCCCTGGAGCTGGTGTCTGAGATGGGCGAGTTCAGCAACGAGGACATCTGCCGCTACATAGATCGCAGCTTCTCCTTCTGGAAAGAGAAGGAGGCAGAGCTCTTTGATATCTGAGCAGAATTTGCAATTTCCCCTCCAGCACCTTCGCCAGGGCCTGGATGCCTGTCTGATGCCCTCTGGAGGCAAAAAGCCAGCAGGAAGAACCCGGAAGCCAGCATGGTGGCCTTGGAGAACCCAGAGTGCCCAGGAGGACCAGGCTGCCGCGGCCTTTGAAACCCCAGCGTGGCCAGATGTGGGGCAGTGGCCAGAACGGGCAGGGCGGGGCACAGGGCAAACCTGGTGTTTCCCTCTGGCCCTACAGTCTTGCCTGGCTCTGTGTTGGAGCCAGGTGGAAGAAGCCGCCCCCGAGGGACCGTGGGTCCCCCTTGGGGCAGTGGGGCTCTCCTCTCTCTGGTTTTTCACTGAATCCACAGCTACTTCTTTGAGGTCATGGAGCGACGTGTGTAGTGTTCCGTGTGACATGTTCTCCTGTGTAAACGCCCAAGTAATAAAACTCTTTGCTGTGAGCCGCCTGTGTTGGATGCCCGCCCCCACTCCTGCCAGGTCACTGCAACCACACAGTTGTAGAGTAGTGTCTGCTCACTTGGGAATAGGACACATATGGGGCAGAAGGTTCTTCACGCTGGAGGCCAGCCCGAGCCTCTCTGAGCTGGCTGGATCTGTGGGGGCCCAACTCGGGGTCTGCCCAGAGAGTCGGGTCAGGGGCCTGGGCCATCTGTCAGCATGCCCCAGTGGGGAGGAAGCTCATTCTCTGCTCCTCTCCCACACCTTAGCTCTGACCTCTCTAGTGCCACCTTTAGGATACGGGACCTGAGTTACAAGGAGGCAGAGCCTGGGAGATTCCCTTTAAGGGGACTGTGGCCAGGCACCTACATCTGTGTGCCCTGCAGGAGGACACCTCTAGCCCACTGTCCCTGACTGGTGCACGTGCCCTGGCTTGGGGGTGCACCCACCTCTGATCCCCTACCTCCTCGCCCATGCTGGTCCTAAGCTCTGTGCTTGTGTTTCAGGAGGAAGAGGAGGAGGCCCGGCTGGCCGGCATGCCTGCCTGGAGGCGAGACCTCCTGCGGAAGAAGCTAGAAGAGGAGAGGTGAGCTGGAGAACCGGAAGCATCAAGGCTTGGTAGGATATCTTGATCGCGTCCCTGACATGGTAGCACCAAATGATGCTGTCTCTTTTTCCTTCTAGGGAGCAGAAGCGGTGAGTGTGGGACTGGGCCTCGCCTGCCACCCCTCCCCAGTCTGGGCACCGTGCTTTTGCCCCTTCGTCCAGCCTCATCTTGAGCACACCCCCTTTTCACTCTGGTCTGTAGCGCAACCTCTCTGCTCCTAGTGATGCCACCAGACTCCTCTCCCCCAGTAACTGAGCCCCTGCCCCAAAGTCTACATCTTATGCCCTACCGGCCTAGTCCCCAATTACCCAGGCCCTGTCTCCCATTAACCGGGCCTTCAGTTAACCCAACTTCACTGTCAATAACCTTGATTTCTGTTCCTCAAAACATAGTTTCCGCCCCGGTATTCTAGCCCAGTGCTGATGGAAGTATAATGTGAGCCACTCTGTAATGTTAAAATCTCTAGTAGCCATCTTGAAAAAATAAAAAGATACAGGTGAACTTAACATATATATTTTATTTAACCCCATATATAAAAATATTATTTCAATACGTACTCAGTGTAAAAGTTATTAATGAGATCTTTTACACTTTAAAAAAAAAAGATTTTATTTATTTATTTGACAGACAGAGATCACAAGTAGGCAGAGAGGCAGGCAGAGAGGGAGGAAGGGAAGCAGGCTCCCCGCCGAGCAGAGAGCCCGACTTGGGGCTCGATCCCAGGACCCTGGGATCATGACCTGAGCCGAAGGCAGAGGCGTTAACCCACTGAGCCCCCTAGGCGCCCCTCACAAAGTCTTCGAGACGCCGTGTGCATTTTACCGCTACAATGTGTCTCATTCTGACATTTCATATGCTCAATGGCCACATCTGTTTAGCAGCTGTCTTGTCAACAGTGTGTATCTAGCCCTTGTTTTATTTTTAAAAAGATTTTAAAAGAGAGAGACAGTGAGAGAGGAAATACAAGCAGGGGGAGTGGGAGAGGGAGAAGCAGGCTTCCTGCTGAGCAGGGAGCCGGATGTGGGGCTCTATCCCAGGACCCTGGGATCATGACCTGGGCCAAAGGCAGATGCTTAATGACTGAGCCACCCAGGTGCCCCTAGCCCCTGTTTTATTTTTTTTAAAGATTTTATTTATTTATTTGACAGAGATCACAAGTAGGCAGAGAGGCAGGCAGAGAGAGGAAGAAGCAGGCTCCCCGCTGAGCAGAGAACCCAATGCGGGGCTCGATCCCAGGACCCCGGGGATCATGACCTGAGCCGAAGGCAGAGGCTTTAACCCACTGAGCCACCCAGGCGCCCCTAGCCCCTGTTTTATAATAACTGTCCCTAATTACCCACCACTACCTCTCAGTAATGTGGTCCTTCTGCTGTCCAGCGGCCCTACTCCAGAATTCACTCCCCCTTACCCTCCGCCACACCCCTGACCCAGCACCACTGTTGCCAGTAATAACCCCAGCCAGCAATAATTCAGCCACAGCCTCTCACTCACCCCCCAGCTCGTGGGTGTGCCCCGGTGACTCCAGTCTGCCCTCAACCAAGCCCCCCTGTGCCCACCAACCCTGCCCTGTGCCTCCCGACGCAATCCCCATCCCCTAGCCCTTCTGCCCCTGGAACTCATTGCCCTGGCCACCAACAACTAGCCCCCCTGTCCTAAGCAACTCAGCCCCCACCCTCCGGGAGCCACTACTTGACAGCCGTGAGCCCCTCACGGTGCCTGGCCCACCCTCACCCCTGCCCGCCTTTCTGCCCCCACACCACGCCTAGGAAAGAAGAGGAGCGACAGAAGCAGGAGAGGATGCAGCGAGAGAAAGAGCAGTCAGAGAAGCTGCGGACGCTGGGCTACGACGAGACCAAGCTGGCGCCCTGGCAGCGACAGATCATCCTGAAGAAGGGGGACATCAATAAGTACTAGATGCCGCCCTCCTGCTCGCAGCCGCGTGAGCTCGAGGGGCCCCAGCCTCCGCCCCGGCCTGCCCGGCCCGGGGCGGAAGGGCTGGGAGCCGCGCTGCCTTCCCCCTCCCGCGCTGGAACCCCTCCCTGCCCCCCTCTGGCCTCCGCACCCACAGCCCGGGGCGACGCTGGAGCGCGCCCGCCGCCGCAGCCGCCCAGAAAAAGTGCCCAAGCAAGCTGCTGACGCAAAAAGATGCTGCTTATTTGCATGCCTATTTACATATATTTGCATACGCGTGGAAGGTCGCGCAGAGATCTCCCCGGCCCCGCGGGTGGCGACTTTGTTACCTCGCGGGGCGCGCGCGACAGGCCGCAGCCCCCTCCCCCGCACCCCGGAACCCGCGTGGCTGGCGCATCCTGGGCGGAGGCAGGCCCCGCGCTCGGGGAAGGGGTTTTCCTCCAGTCCTGACCCAGATCCGCGCCCTGCCCGCCCCGGCCGCATTTCCCATCTGCGCGAGGGCTTCCTCTCAGTCACTTGTTTACCAGAAGCGGTAACAGCAACCTGCCCGTCGGGACAGAGCTGCCGCTCCGGGCCCATCCTCTGCCCGCCCGCCCCCGCCGTGAAGTCTGCGCACCCAGGCCCCGCGCTCCCGGACCCTCCCGCGGCGCGGGTGGGGAGTGGGGGGGGGGCGGGGGCCCCGCACTCGTGTCCCCCCCCCCAACTGCCTGTCGTCCCGCTCCCCCATTAAAGCTCTCTCAGCCGCCGGGGCTGACGTTCACTCTCTCGCGCCGTCGCCGCGACTTCCTCAGCCTTTCGGGGTAACTGGGGCACGGCCGAGGGGGCGGGGTGCGGCCTGGGAGCCGAGGGCCGCACCTGCCTCCTACGTGGGTCCCCGACCCCGGGGTGACGAGACTTCCGGCTCCCTTCCGACGCCCCCAGGAAGCCAGGCCCCGGCCACGTAGCGCCCCAGCCCCGCGGAAACGCCACGCAGTAGATGTGTTCACAGATTTAATAGCGGGGCCTCCCGCGCTCGGGCGCGGACAGTGCGAGCCGCCGCCGGCCGCTCCGGTCCGTGCGTCTCGGCCGCGGGCAGGAGCCGGGCGCGCGGCGGGGAGGGCGGCCGGCGCAGGGCGGGGCCGGGCTCCATAAGTGACATAAGATGTCTACACGCATAAGTAACCATACTTAGGGCTCTGCCAGGGGCGGCGGGGTTGGGGGGCACGCCCTGGGTCACGGGCCGCGCTGCAGGCGGCTGCGCAGGTCCTCGGCGCAGCCGTCCAGCCCCATGCGCTCCAGCGCCGCATAGACGGCGCCCAAGCCCGCGGGCTGCTGCTGGCGCCAGCGCTTGAGCATCTCGTACTGCTGGTCGCGGAAGCGGCCGACCTCCACCTCCACGGCCTCGATCTCCGCCTCGCGCAGCCCCAGGGTGCGCACGAACTCCTTCCAGCGCCGCGCAGGCACCGCGTCCATCACGTCGTAGAGCTGCGGGCCGGGCTGGAGCGTGGCGCCCGCCGAGCCTGCAGGGGGCGCTGGCGAGGGCGTGGGCGGCGACGGCGGCGGTGGCGGCGGGTCTGAGGGCGGGGCGGAGAGGGTCGGTGGGGAGGGCGAACCCCGGCGGAGGCGCGCACCGGGACCGGGGGTGGGGCAGGGATGGCGGCAGCGGAGGGTGCGGACGGGTACCGCGGTTAGGGCGGGCCAGGGACGACCACCTGACCAGCTCGGGATGCGAAGGGGGCAGGTGATGCCTCAGGAACCGAGTCCGCGTCTCGGGAGGATGGGGTCTAGGCCTCAGGCCAGCGAGGTCCCTTACCAGGAGCTCCGCCGTGCAGCGGGTCCCAGGACCATGCCACCTGCGGGCAGGGCGCCTCCTGGGTCTGGGGGGAGCCAGGGTTCCAGCCGTTGCCAACCAGCTGGACGGTGTGGACCTTCTCACTACTGCCGAGTGGCACTAGGAGGGCGTGGGTGCTGTCCCTGGGTGAGAGGTGGGTGGCCTGGAAGCCAAGAGAAGACCCAGGTCAACCCAACTTGACTAAGTAAGGCCCCTTGTCTGCGGTCCCTGGCCCGGAGCGGCCAGTCCCTGGCTCAGTCAGCAAACATTCCCCAAGGCTGCCTCCCGCAGCTGGCCATAACCTTGCGCTGTGGTCCAGAACGGCTATTTCCTCTGCCTGGAATACCCTGCCCTCGCTGGCCTGCTCTTGTTCCCCGAGGCCGGTCTGAGGCCAGGCCTGCGGCACTCATCCCACAGAACCTGTCTGGAGCCCAGCCCTTTGAGAGCCACTTAGGGACAGGTGCTATGCTGCTCTCCGTCGCTCAGAACTCAGTGAACTCACAGGCGTTCGTTAGGTCTACTCTGTGCCAGGCCCCGTGCCACACCCTGGGGATCACAGGTTATCATAAGGCCCAACCTCTCAGCTCCAGAACGCTGCGGCCTAGGTGCCGGCTCACCCTCTTTCCAGAATACTACTTCTGTGCTTACCTGTAGGGGAGTCAGGGCCTCCATCCCAGCTTCATCTGTGGAGGGACAAAGAGCATCTCATCAGTAACCAGGGAAGACTCCTAGACCCGGGTGCTGGTCCAAGTCCTCTTGTGTTCCCCTGTACCACCCCCGCCCCAGCTCTCTGCATCAGGGCTGAGTGGGCTTGGGGCTACCCATGCTGACCACGTGCCCCGAGAAATGTGTGCACGCCTGTGCCCCGTACTTACTAGCAACACTGGGCTTGCAGGGCTGGCAGCGGTGGTGGGTGTAGGTCAGCATAGCACCAAGCAGCAGTGGGACCACCAGGCCAGCCAGGAGCACCTGGACCCAGAACACTGAGAGAAGAGCTGGTGAGCGGTGGGGTTGCGGCCTCCCTCAGTCTCCCCGGGCCTGTCCCAGCAGTCCTGCTCTAATTCCCAGCACCCACGTACTCTGCCTCCAGCCACAAACAGTCACGCAGGGCTCAGGACAGCTCCCGAGGGTGCTCCTGCAAGGAGAGGGGAGGGGATGGGAGGTGAGGGAGAATACACCCAAGAGGGGCTACCTGTGTTCTCCATCCCGGAGGCCCTTTCCTTCCTAGGCCTCTTCCCTGGGACCCACACTACCAGGAATGTTCCCAAAATAGTGTCTCCAGGAACAACAGTGACAGCCACTGCTTAAGAAGCTTCTTGTAGACTAGATTGAGGGTCACAAGAATGTCAGCCCTGTGAGCACCGGATTTGCCTCCTTTGTTCCCTGTCGTGTCCCCAGCACCTAGAGCATCTCTGGAAGATGGCAGGTGTTTAATACACCCGGGGCTAAGGAGACGGTCGGACAAAGTGCTTTACCCCTTACTCTCAGCCCTGGGGAGAACTTTCACACGGGGAAGCCATGGATCAGAGAGACGAAGTAACTTGTCCAAGATCTCCCAGAGGACAAGCGGCACATCTTGAATCTCAGCCCAAGTTTTGAAAGCGTATCAACGTGGCTGTCTCTATAAACTGACAAAGCCTATACTTCTTTACTGCGCAGCTGGAAAGACCACGGGAAAGTCTGACGAAGGGTGAAGATGCGCCCCCTGTTTATCCGTCCTAAGGGGAATGCAGATTTCCCTCTAGCATCTAAGGACCAAGCTCCCTCCCCTTCCCTGAGATCCGCACTCGGCTCCCAGTCTCCCTTTCCCCGCCCCGGGGCAGCCAGGACGTTACGTGGGGCAGGGCGTGCAGCTGTTGCCATATTCATAGAAGCCAGGCAGGCAGGTCCCACAGTCCGCATCTCTGGCAGAACCTGCAGTCCAGGAGATGGCTTGTGGGTCAGGAAGGGAGAGAAGGAGCTGGGGGCTGGGGGAGGTAGCCCAGAATGGGGTACTCACAGGGCACCCGTGTATGGCGGTGCAGGGCCCTGCAGTCTGAGCATGGGTGGCAGCGGAAGGGCGAGCCGACCTTGCAGGGCTTGACCAAGCACTCCGGGAACCGGCCTGGCTCACAGCCACAGTGGGTGTCCGCCACCGTTGAGCAGTTTGTCACGGCCACCTGGGAGACTGGCCAGATGTTCAGGAGGTGGGGTAAATGGAGGCCATCAGGGCCAGAGGCCCCCTCCCCCGGGGACTGGGGGCAGATCCCCTGGAAAATGGAGATGGGGACAGACCAGAGACAGCGCCACCCCCAATGGGAGAGAAGCATGGAGATCACCACAGATCACAGGCTGAGGCATATGCCGCGAGAGGAGGGGCATCAGGGAGAGAGGGGGCAAAGGCATCTCAGGGCAGGATCAGGGTGGAGGCCTGGCATGGGCGGACACAGGCCTGTCACACCCAGAGGTTAAGCCCAAGCCAGCCCCTTCTTCAGAAATGCCTGACCATGGACTGGTCAAGAGCCCCCCACTGAGCACGAGGCCCCTTACCCTCCTCATCACAGGCCTGGCAGCGGGCACAGCGGGTCTCATGGTGGTTCTCCCTGGCCAGGAAGGTGCCCCGTGGGCACGGAAGGCAGGTGGCCGTTCCACAAGGCTTGGGGCAGGGGGCCTTCAGGTAGTGCCCTGTGGAAATCAAACCTGGGTCAGACATTCACAGGGCGTTCTCACGTTCCCCGCTCTTCCTTCCTCTCTCTGGCTCCCTACTTCCCCCACCTCCCCTGTCTCCTTGACACTGCCTGACCCCCATCTCCCTTTGTTTGCCCTCACTTTCCCCTGCAGCCCTCCCACCCCTTCAACGGCTCACCTGCTGGACAGCCCTTGCAACAGAACAGACCGTTCCTCTTCTGGACATTGTAGGCACAGTCACACGGAGGACCGGGAGTGCTGTGCTGGCCCCGGGCGCCCGGCAGCACAAGGAGTAGGACCTGGAGGATGGGCGCTGCTGGCTCCAGCAGGGCTTGCCACGCCGGGCCCCTCCCTGCTCCGTCTGGTCTACTTCGGGGGTGCACCCCCGCTTGCCCTCAGAGCAGCCCACTTCTCGGGTTCTTGAGTAGAAGAGGTGCCCCTCGCTGTGGGGTAAGCGAGCTTCCCTCCCACCCTGCGAGGACCAGACTTGGGGGAAGCGGAGCAGACGTCCCCAGCCAGCTCCTCTGGCACGTACTGCCTCCGCCAGGGCGCCGCCATAGGCGGGCAGCCCCATCCCCCTGATGCTCTCTATAAGGTGGGGGACCCAGATCTTTCCCCACCTAGGGCCCCTAGACCCCTCTGGCCCCCCGGCGTGGGTTTCCTCTCAGCGGAAGGGCCCCGCCCGGTTGAGCCTCTAACTAGTGGAGTCTCTAAGTAAGTTGAAAGGTGGGGGGTGGGGCTGCCACACTTCCCAAGGAAGTTGGGCCCCTTCATTCACAGCACGGGGACTGGGCCTGAGGTCAGGCTCCAAGCTGTCCACCCCCCTCTGCCATGCTCCCCCACTCACCGCAGCCACCACTGCCATGTAGCCCCCCAGCCGCAACTCCATGGCTCTTGGCACCTTGCTGGGCGCTCCGACAGCAGGCGACAGGCATGCGCCAGCCCGGGGGCTTCCCCGCTCTGCACGCTCTGCCTGCCTGCTCTGCCCCAAGCCGCCCAGAGAAGCCCGCCTCAGGGGTGGGGGTCAGGGCGGGGCCCCCAGCCCACGCGGCCTGCCCCTGGGCACCTGCGCTCACCTGAGGCGGCCCAGGGGCAGCAAGGTGTACACAGGTCAGGGCTGCATCGTGGTCCCCAAGCCTGGGTTCTAGCCTCAACCCCGACACTACCACTTCCAGGTGCAGTGACTTCCCTCCTTCGGCCTTACCCCTCCCTCAGCCACAAGGGGCTGGGCCAGAGCTACGCAGGACACAGGACGGAGATCCAGCCTCCCCAGATCCTGCCGGGCTGTGGGTACAGGGACCCCACCCCTGGAGGGGGGATCCTAGGGGGCATTCTTTGTGACGCCTGAGACACATCGCCCACCCTGTCAAAAACTTATGGGGACCCCCAGGGTGGGGCCCCCCAGGGCACCTCCTGGGAGGGAGCAATTCATGGGGGCTCTAGAGTGGACCTCGTGGCTGAGGTGGGGGTGGGGCTGATTTTGGGGTGCTGCTGTGTTAATTCACTAATGCTCATCCTCGGTCTCCTCCAGTGATGCCCTACCACACGTGGAGGGGGACAGGAGTGACAGGTACCTGCGCCAGGGCTCCAGCGCACCTGAGTCAGGAAAGGGGTGGGTTCCAAAAGCAAAGGACTCCTTCCAGTAGTATATACAAGTCTTTATAAAAGAATCAAAAGCTCAATAAATATGCAAACTTACACAGAGCCGAACCCAAGCCTGGGGTGGCCTGTGGGACTGGGAGGGAGGAAGGCCAGACCAGGGGAACAAACATCCCAGTTGGGGCCAGATGAGGCTGGAGGGGTAAGGGCCACCCTGGAGCCCAGCCCAGAAGACTGGAGTGGGTGATCCAGGAGCAGCGAGCAAGGGACACTGTGGGGTTGGGGAGGACTGGGGGGAGGGGTGGACAGGTTAGTGAAGGTGGCCTTGTTGGGGGTCCTGAGGAAGTACTGCAGCCTGGGCCTGGAGCTCAGCTGAACGCTCCTTCGCTTCCATCCAGTCTGGCAAAGTGCAAATCGGGGGTCCTGCCCGGCACTCTGGCTCCTGCGGGCACAGGCAGCAGCCAGAGCTGGGAGCGGGACGCCCCAGGAGGCACGCTGTCTGCCGTCGCTCGGTCAGGGGCTCCCTGGGGGGCCTCCCTCTGCTCAGACCTCCCTGCAAGAGAGGCGAAGGGAGAGACAGTCCTTCCTTGGTTGATGCTACTCGGAGGGGCTCTGGCCGCTCTGGCTGCCCTCCCTGCCCCACTGGAATTTTCAGGCCCCTTCCCCACTGCCCACTGTAGACACCGTCATGTAGGCTCTGGAGCAGGCTCCCGTCCCCATCCCCTAATGCCACCTGCTCCCAGCTTTAAGAGTGCCCTTACCCATTCCTGAGGCTCAGTGCCCCCCACTGCCGGCACACCGGGCCACCAGCCTTCGACCCCAGGCCACTCACGAGGCAGTAAGCGTAGAGTTAAGCAGCAGGGTGGTCCTGATTCGGTACAGCTGGGCGAGCGTCAGCTTCCGGTGCTGGGCAGAGATCCCTGTGGGGGGCTCGGACTGGACCCTGGGCAGTTCTTTGCTCCTCCTGGAGGGTCTTTCGGGCTCCCCCATCAGGCAGTTGGTTCTGCCCTCCAGCTCTGATGGCTCAGAGCCACGGCCAGGGTTTTGTGTCCCCCGGCGAGCCCAGCTGGGCCCAGCTTCCCGAGGGAAACCCTGAGTCCTCGTGCCAGGGACTGTGACGGCCAAGCAGAGTTCTGACAGACTGCGGCTGGGCGTGGGGGGCGCTCCGCACGTGGTGGCCCCTGACAGCAGCTGGAGGAGGCTGGCCTCAGATTTGGACTTGAGCAGGTGGGGCAGACGGGGCAGCAGCTGAACGGGTGTGCGGCGGCGGAGGTGGGGTGAGGGTGGAGGAGAGGGGGCTTGTGGCAATTCTGGGGGCCGGGGCACTGGCTCCCCCGCAGGGGCGGGGGCTGCAAAGTCTTGCAGGGAGGTTGGGGAGAGGGTGCCGTAGGCGGAGTCCATGGAGCAGGAGCGGCCATCCACGGGGCCCAGGGGCAGCAGCTCGCTGGTGGGCGTGACAGAGGAGGCCGTGGTGCTCAGGGAGGTCTCGTCCGACTGGGAGCTGAAGGGGCCACCCTCGAACTCCGGAGAGGATGGCGTCTCCCCGGGCTCCACCACAACCATGGCCAGGGTCTCGGTGGAGCCATCGGAAGCACTGCGGAGCCAGGAGGAGACGCTCAGGCCAGCTGCCCGGGTGGCCTGGTGCAGCCCGTGCTTGGGCACCCACAGGTCTACAGCCTCTGGCCTCTCCGGAGCAAGCGTATGGCCCACCAGCCCGATCTCCCAACTCCTGCGCCCGTAACACGGACCCCAGGAATGGCACCTGGCACCACCACAACACTCCGTCTGGCCGGACACAGTTCGAGAGCCCTTGGCTCAGCTCTCCGCCCGGCTAACACCAGACCATCAGAGTTGGCACTCCAGCTAAAAACCCTTTGCCAAGCCCACCTGGACTCAGGCGGGTGGCACAGCCCTCTCCCCCACACTGAACCATTCGGAGGAAGGGGCCGTGGCTGGGCCCTGTGCAGGGTCAGGTGCCTTGGGGCCAGGTCTGCTCTGGCTGGCAGGGGCGGGGGGGCGGGGCATACCAGCGCTGGGAGTTGAGACTGTTGCTGCTTTTGCGCAGGATGGTGGGGGAGCTAGCAGCAGAGGTGCTACTCTCCCCGCCATCCTCCTCCTCCTCCTCTTCCTCGTCGTCTTCCTCCTCCTGCTCATCCTCCTCCTCCTCCAGGCTCTGCAGGTGCTGCTGGCTGCCTGGGTGCTCCTGGGCACGCAGCTGCTGCAGCTGGTTCTGCAGGTGGGGGGGGGGGGTGCCACCCCCCCCCCCCCCCCCCGCCGGGACGCCCTGCCCACCCCCATCCGCACACCCACCACTCGGTTCCCACCTGGGCATTGTAAATGGCGTCCACCCAGCCGCGGCACAAAGCCTGGCCGTTGGCCTGGAACGTGTAGGCGCCCACGGCACTGTGGAACTCGTTCAGATAGATGAGCAGAAAAGAGCCTGGTGAGGAGGGGCTCAAATCAGCCCCGGCTAGGACCCGGAGCCCCTGACTGCCAGCTCCTGGCCTGGAATAGACCAGGCTCCTCACCAGGGTCTCGTAGCTCTCGGCACACAATCTTGTCCACCAGCAGTGGTGGTCGGACGACTTTGGTCCTCTCAGCCTTCTTCACTGCCTTGGTCACCAAGAGTAGGTCCGTAAAGAGGAAGCAGTACACGTCCATCTGCAGGGGTTGGGGGGCAGCAAGGGGAGTGGGCGAGGCCAGGGATCAGGGCCAGGGTCCTGGGACCGCAGCCTGTCTGCTGTGACACCCTCTCTTGGGCTGGGCCCTGCACCAGCCCTTCCTTACTGCACTTTGGTGATGTCGCTGGGGGCACTCAGATTTTGTCAAACACCTTCCCTGCTCCCTGCCTCCCATGAACCTGAGAATAAAATTAAAATGAAGAGAGGGGCGCCTGGGTGGCTCAGTCAGTTCAGCGTCTGCCTTCGGCTCAGGTCACGATGTCGGGGTCCCAGGATCCAGCCCCACATCAGGCTCCCTACTCAGTGGGGAGCCTGCTTTTCCCTCTGCCCCTCCACGGCTCATGCTCTCTCTTTCTCTCAAATAAATAAATAAAGTCTTTTAAAAAATTAAAATGAAGAGCAAGATGTTATTCCTTCATGGAACTATAAAGGTATAATTTATTTCAGTAAAAAGTTCACATTAAAGAGAAAAAGAAAATTTATGATCTGTGATTTTGAAAGCCACAATTTGGGGTTCCTGGGTGGCTCAGTTGGTTAAGCATCCAACTCTTGCTTTCAGCTGAGGTCATGATCTCAGGGTCCTGAGATCAACCCCCCATCGGGCTCTGCTCTCAGGAGGGAGTCTGCTTCTCGCCCCCTCCCTCTCTGCCCGCTTGCATGCACTCTTTTTCTCTCTCTCAAATAAATAAATAAATCTTTAAAACCACAATTTGCAGGCTCTGGGTTATGCACCTGGGATTAGCAGCTCAGAAGCCAGGCTCTGGGCTGTTCATGACCTGCTCTTGGAACGCACCCCCCACCCCCGACCAAGAACCCTTATGGCACCAGCAGGGGGGCAAGCCCAGCGCCCCACTGGCTGTGCCCATGCTGCCACATCTGTAAAGAATAAATTGCAGGCAGATCATGAGCCCTCAAGGGACCACAAAGTCATTCCTTGAACTGCCGCCCCAACTGACACGGCAGCTAAGAACCATTAACTAGGGCCCAGAAGGTTCCCAGGAAAGGGTGGTCCAAACCCAGAGAGCAGGAGGTGGGGAAGGGGCCCTGGGGGTGGATGGACCCTAGAGTCACCTTGCCGTCCTTCCCCTCCTTCATCCTCAGGCTCCCCTCCAGCAGCAGCTGTCGCGTCTCCTCAGGGGAGGCGCCAGGGATGGGTGCTGTCAGGTCTAGGTGCATAAACTCCTTCAGGAGCTGGTGATGGGTGGGGGTGGGGGAGGTGTAGACAGGTCAGGGTCCGACGCCCGCTCTGGCCCGGGCATCAAGCGAGATTCCCAGCACAGCCCCGGGCTGCCAGTCTGACCCTCCCTCCGTTCCAGCAGGGCCAAGGGTCCCCCACCTTGTCCACCTCGTCGTTGCTGCCCTCCACCACCTCGTAGGCGTCGATGCGGCTCACCACGGCCGCCAGCCGCTGTCGCTCCTGCCGCTGCCGCATGCACGCGTTCACGTGGTGGAGGAAGCGCTCCGCGGAGTCGATCTGCGCAGTGGGGCGGGCGACCGCGGGGTCAGGCCCGGGGTCTGCGGAGGGCCCCGAGCGGCAGAGGGGGACCCCGCCCGCCGCCCCGGTTACCATGGTGACGACGGCCTCCTTGGCGCGCGGCTCGTCCGTCCTCCTCAGCACCGACTTGAGCAGCAGCGGGTACTTGGTGAGCCGCTGGTGGGGCTTGGCCAGCATGTCGCTCAGCTTCAGCCGCTGGCACTGCGGGTGCTTCTCGGCCCACTGCGGCGCGGGCACCGGCGGGGCTCAGGTAAGCTCCGCCCCCGGGCTCCATGCCCCGCCCATGCCCCGCCCACCGTCCCGCGGTCCCGCCCGCGCTCACCGTGACGTAGGCCCGGAAGAGGTCGTTGTCGCGCAGCAGGCCGCGCATGTACTCCATGCAGCCCTCCTCCTCCAGGCAGTACCGGACATAGGGCTTGAACAGGGAGCCGAACTGGCCCGGGGCGGAACAGGCCCGGTCACCGCGCGCTCTCCGCGGCCGGGCCCTGCGCCAGCCCCTCTTCAGGCACTTTCGTGACCACCCCAAGGTGTGGCAAATGTTATCACCCCAGTGTCCAAACCGAACTTCCGCGGAAGTGACCGCCCTCCCCAAGGAGGAAAGGCAGGTGGCCTGGTGGGGTTCAAACCCGGCGCCCGACTCGGAATTCTTTGTCCCCGAACACTAGGGGTCCTCTGGGGCCCCTGGTGGTGGGGGGGGAGGGGCTGGGGTGACTGGCAGACCGGATTGGCGCTCCGGCCCTGACGCAGTGCCCCCGCCGGGGTCCGGCCCGGCCCGTACCATCTTGAAGCCTCTGAGGAAGTCCCCGGGCTGCAGCAGCGCCCGCGTGCGCCGCGCCTTCTCCAGCACCGGCGCCATCACGCTGGCCCACAGTCCGCGGTGCAGCCGCGCGATCTCGGGGATGTTGCTGAACAGGCGCTCGGCCTCCACCTGCGCGGGGCGGGAGGTGCGCTCGGCCCCGCCCCGAGGACAAGCCCCGCCCTCGGCCCCGCCCCTTCCATCGGCACCCGGGCCCCAGGCCTCGCCTCACCTCGCATAGCAGCCCGGACTCTTGCAGGTTCAGGAGGCAGCAGAGGAACAGCTGTGGGGGCAGGGAGCGAGGCAGCTGGGGGGCGTCCCGGTCCCGACGCCCCACCCAGACTCAGACTCCTCTCTACCCCTTCCCCCTCCCAGGAAACCCTGAAGCAGCCTGGGACAGAGCCGGTTCACCCCATCAGAAAAGGCCCAGCCTCCACAGCCCAGCTGGGGGTCGGCCGGCCCCGCCCCCACCTGCAGGGACATCTCTGGGAGACTGGCCTTGCAGTCACACCTGGAGCTCTTTCCTCCCTCTCTGCCCTGGCTCAGCCTCCGAGTTTCAACGAGGACGTTTTCCATGAACCCCAAGCTCAGGATAGGTGCGCTCCCCTGGCTGAAGTACGCACACACACACACACACACACACACACTCTCTCTTTCTCTCCGCCTCCGCGTCCAGGGGTCTAGGGCGTGGCTGCTGGACAGCTCGTACACAGCAAGTGCTCGGGAATAATCACTGAGTCAATGTGCCCAGTGTCCACCCAGCCGACGCCACACACTTGCCCAAAGTCCCTGGCAGGTGCCTGGCCTGTGGGACTCATCTCCTCCTCCCTGGGGAGCAGCCCTTCTCCCTCTCCTTCCCCTGTTCCTTCTGCAAAGCCCCAAACTCTGCTCAAGGGCCCCCAGCACGAGGCTACGGGGCTGGGGCAGGGGGGAAGGCTGGCTCTGGGCCAGGTGTGGTCCCACACTCACGTTGGTGATCACCCGCAGTTTCTTAATGTAGGAGGCCTCCGTGTGCAGGAGCTCCCACACCGCCTCCTGCTGGTGGCACTGCCTCCGCGTCAGCTTCTGCAGGAAGGGCAGTGGGTCGGCCAAGAGGTCCAGGGTGTGCCCAGATGACCAGGGAGGAGACACACAACCTTGCAGGCCACGTCCTTTTCCCGGCGGGAACATGGAGGTCCCCCGAGTTCTGGGCCCTCCTCTCCCATTGAGACAGCCAAGTGGCGCTGCACTTTCCTTGCCTCAGTTTCCCCACAGTGAGTTAATGATGACAGCAGCCTGGCAGGGCTGCCCCACAGAAAGTCCTGTCACTGTGGTGGTACCAACCTCATGCCCGTCAATGAGCTCCCGCCAGCTGTCCTCCAGCTGTAGGCAGGCGTCGTCCTCCTCTTCCTCCTCATCCCCCTCTTCCTCCCATGAGTCGTGGTCGAAGCGCAGCCTCCGGGCCAGCCGGGGCAGCCCGAAGAGGCCATACGCGTGCAGTTTGCCCTCCAGCTGCTCCATCTTGTCCACCTCCTGGAAGGACACCCATGGTTGGGGTCAGGGGACAGGGCCAGCCAGCTGCCCCGTCCCCGGGCCTCTGGGACCACCTACCCGGCCAAAGGTGCTGGTGCTGGGGCCCGAGCTGAAGAAGCCACTGAAGCGACTGGCAGCCCGGTTCTTCCAGCTGTCACTGCCACCACTGCTGCCACTGGGCAGAGAGCAGCTGGAAGATGCGGGGGCCTCCTGGCCAGGGATGCTCGTCTCCCCCAGGAACTCCGACATGTTCTTTCGGCGGCGCCCAGGGGCCTGGCCAGGGAGGGGGATCAAGGCCAGGCCCACCCCGGCTCCCGCAGTCCCACCCCACAGTGGGCCTCCTGGACCTCCAGCAAGCTTGAGATGTGGGAGGGGTTTTGCACGTCGCCCACCCTGGGAGGTCGCCTCTCCTGAGATCCAGACCTGCTCTGGGGCTGGAAGAGCCAGGCACAAACGCACCTGGGCCACCCCTCCCCCAGCCCCAAGCACACACAGTCACATGCATATTTCATGCACTTATAAGCACAGCCTCAAACGGATCCACAACACACACACACACACACACACACACACACACACACACACACACACTCTGGGGCACCAGCAGACACTCAAAGACAAGACCCATTATCTTGGGGTCCCCTGTCCTCAGAGCCAGCCTTATTTTCCAGAGGGGAAATTAAAGCCCAAGAGAGGGGTGAAGGGCCCAGGTGACCTCCCCCTAAGCCGCTCCCCACCCCCAGTCCCGACACAGTGCCTCACCAGGATGTCCAGGCTCTCCCGGCGGCTCTGGGGGTCCGCACGCTCCAAGGAGGGGGTCCCGGCCCTAGCTGGCCGCAGGATTGGCAGACTCAGGGACTTGGAGTCCTTTACTCCCTGCTCCACCTTCCCCTCGTCCCCTGGCTTGGCTGGGGCAGCATCGGGGGGAAGAAGAGATCCTCAGCCCCAGTGGTGAAGGGGACCACAGACCTCTCTCTCCTGAGGATCCAAACCAAGACCTGGCTGCCCTCGCCTGGGGCCCCGCCCCACCAGCACCTACAGCCAGGGCCCGGCAGAGACACCTGTATGGTAATGAGCCCACTCAGGGCCGTGGCCAGTGGGAATCTGAGCCTGGGAAGAAGCAGCCATCTCCGGGGGGTCCCCAGCTTGGGCCTAGCCACCCTGCCTGCCAGGTTCACCGCTCACCTTTGACCCGCAGGTAGTGTCCCCCAAACCGGTAGGCCTCAAAGGTGAGGGACAGGGGTGTGTTGGACTGGTCCAGGTAGATATCCACTTTACCCAGGGCTACGCCCTTCCTTTCAAACACCGGCAGCAGCACCTCCCTGCCCCAGGACAGGAGGGGTACGGGTTAGGGGGCAGGCAGAAGAACCCCCTTCCCTGGGCACAGCTCCAGCTCCACCCCACCTTATGGATGATGAAGGGAGACACCCACAGGGTCATACAGAGGCACCAAGACATACAGGTGCGTGCACACACACACCTGCTAACAGAGGGCCACACACTCCTACAAGCATCTCCGCACAGGCCAGCATGCCCACGCCCTCGCTCTTGCGGGTCTGCACACCAGAGCAGACGCTGTCACATGCAGGGCCACATCCAGGAACTGAGCCACGTGCACATGTGTTGGGACACACAGGGATCTCTGCCCAGAGGTGGGAAACCTGCTCACTCACAGGCCACCACACACACATACACCGCTATGCCTTCAAGAAGCCATGCCTACCCTCCCCCGCCCCACTCCCTCTGCCTTGGCCCCACCAAGCCCTACCCCAGCGACTTCTTCTTCATGGCTGGAACGATCTCTGTCTCAATGTCCACATTCAGGTCAAATTTCAGGGTGAAGCACTCCTTGCTTGGGTCCTGAAAGGGCACGGGTCTCTTCACTTCGGTGCCCCTTGTCTCTGAACCTCCTCCCAGGGTCCAGGATGGAAACCCCAGCATGGGAGTGAATGCAAGGATCCCCCCAGGCTGCCTTGGTCCCAGGGAGGTCCCCTGTATCCCTCTCGCCCAAGGGAGGAGTTCCTGTAGCATCTGGCTCCTGGCTAAGGTGGGCAATACTGGGCTGCAGGGCACAGTGGTGGGGGAGGGGAACCCACTCACTCCAGACCCCATCCCTGGTCCTGGAAGTCAGAGCAGACAAGCCCAGCCTTGGGGATGGAAAGGGACAGGCCCAGGAAGGGCAGGGGCTGGCAGGAGCCCCCTTGACAGCCTGGGGACTCCTTACATCTGTGTGTCTCCTTCTTGCCTTCTTGGAGAGTTTCAGGCCTGTGCTCTTCCGGTCCCTGCAGGACAGAGGGCAGAGGTCAGAGGGCATGGCTAGACCCTCACCAGGGTGGGATGTGAATGGGCCCTAGCTGGCCACCCGCTCCTTGCTCACCCCAGGGGTGACAGATAACTCAGGTGTGCTCAGGCAGCCCAAGGCCCACAGGGTCTGTGAGCCCTCTCGTGGCCAAACGCAGGAGCTACACCCAGTGGTACCTAGTCAGGCAGAGTCCTAGCCCCGGAGCTGGAGGCGGGCCCAGGCGGGACAGCCTCCTCCAGAAACTGGGTGTCCATGGTGGCAGGGAGGGGTCTCCAGTCAGGCCTTCGGAAGCCTCTGGTCTTGGATCTCAAATCAGAGTGTCTGCTTTGCCCACCTACCCTTTGCCGTCCACAGAGCTTTCCTCTTCCTCCTCCAAGTCCACTGCAGGGCTGGTGCGTGGGGGGCATGACCGGGTAGACACGTTCCGGGCCAGGACAGAGCCTTTGGAGTAAAGTGAGAGGAAAGGTCATGCCTCCTCCCTCTCTGGCCCCCTTCTCATCCTGCTACCAGCCCCGGGCTCCCCCTTCCCCGGAGGAGCGAGCGCCCTGCAGGTCGAGGACGGGAAGGGGCTCTGTCATTGTTCCGTATCTCTCCACCGCTAGACTCAAAAAGACACAAGGACCCTGGGGTGATACCCCAGGCGATGCCCTGCCTTCAGTACAAACCCACCTGTGGCCTCAGTTTACCCTTCTATAAAATAGGCAGGAGGAAATCCTGCCTCTGGGATTGCCGCAGGAAGGGACCAACGTCTACGGCTCTTCCCTTGGGCCTCCTCTCCCCACCACCATGATGACACCCAAGGTCCCCGGGGCTTGGCAGAGGCGGAGAGTCCTTTCACCCCTCTGACCTGCTGTAAAGGGAGACAGTCTGGCATTTCTGGTCAGGCAGCTGGTTGCCAGCGGGGCCCAGGCCAGGTCCCTATGCAGCGGAGGGGTTTCTTGTTCCCGAGACCTGCCCGCCCCGCCCTCCACCGCTCTGCTCGCCAGTAGCCTGGCTGAGGGATCTGCCCAGCAGTCCCGGCCCTAAGGACAAGAAGAAAGGGGACTCTTCCATGATGACCCAGGGGCAAGTTGGAGGAGCAGCTCCTGGAGACGTACCAGACCCACAACCTGGTACAGACAGGCCTGCTCTTGAGATGGGGCACTGTCCCGACTTCTCTTATTAAAACACTGGGAGCACAAAAGGGGATGTAACATTCTTGGGTTTCACTGTTTTCGGTCACAGCTCCGGTCCTTGTGACGGCCCTGTCGCCGCTCTGACAGTTACCAAGACGCCATGCCCCTAGACAGGGAGCTGCTGCTCTGGGAACTCGAAGGGACGGGCTGGGGCCCCTCCCCACGCTCACCTTGTGGGGGCAGGTCAAAGCGGACGTGCCCATCATAATGCATGGCGCTGTGGAACTTGCTGTCACAGGCCTCACAGAGGTTGAGGGGTCCCCGGCGGTGCAGCTGCTGGCACTCAGCGTGGTGGCATACCTTTTGGGGAAGGAGGGATGCTGGCAGGGAGGGCCCCCGGCGGGCACAGCGGCAGCGGGCACAGCGGCAGCGGGCACCACGGCGGCCCAGACCACTGCAGGCCACAGGCCCAGGCTCCTGGTCGCTCCCAAGGCTGCTCGTTTCTCAGCCATCCATTCCCCACAGGGGGCCTCGTGCTCCTTAATTCACTCTGTGGACAGTCCCCCAGCCGCACTATGTGTCCATTGTGGAGGATCCACCGAGAAAAGCAGATCCCCGCCCTCGAAGAACAAAGTGTGGAGGGGAAATTTCCAGGGAGGAACCACGAGGCAGTTGCTACCAGGGCCTCTTCCTGGGGTTCAGGAAGGAAGGGTACCCCGAAGTGCTCAGGGGTGACATCTGGTTTGGCCAGCTCTGTGTCAGAACCGGCAAAGCCCTTCCTGTCCATCCCCCACCACCAGCCCCTCTGCCCTAAGTTCTGTGACGTGTCTGGCCCCTGCATGCAACCTCGCATGGGGTGAAGGGGGTGATGCCAGAGTCCACAAAAGGCACGGGCATCTGGTGCTAAGGCAGTGCTCCCCCCCGCCCCGGGTATTTACCGTATTTACTCTATCACCCTATGTTCTCCCCAATCCCTGGGGAGGACTGCCATACCTGTCCTCTGCCCTCTGGCTCCCACAGCTCACCTCCAGCCCACTCTGCTTCCCACTTTCCTTGTTCCCCACCAGGTTCACCCACCTGCCCCACACTGGGGGGGCCTCCCCCTGCTCCAATCCAGCCAGCCTGCCAGTGAGAGCAGCCCAGCTGCCAGGGTGTGGAACTGCTCAGCGCCCTCCCTCCCCTACACCATCAGGCTCCCTGTCCTTTGGCTCAAAGGCCCTGTTCTCCACCTCCAGCTTCTCACACCCCCTTTCAGTGAGACTCCATGAAACAGGTCTCCATCCTGATCACTTCCTCGTTTTCCCTCCCAGTACTCATTAACGTGTCTTCCCTGACTTTCCATTTTTAAGTATTTCAGACCTACAGAGAATTGTAAGAACGGTACAGTGACCTCCACATTCCCCTCTAGCTTCCCCAGTCGTGAGCATTTGTCGTGCTGTGCTCCCCTCTCATTTCCCCCTCCCCAGGTGTGGAAGAGCACGGCCATTCTCCTACAAAACCCCAATACAACTGTCACGGTCGGGAAACATCACAGATATATGACCCATCCGTAGTCTAAGTTTGCATCCGCCCATCTGCCTGTACCATGGCCTTTACGGATTTGTTTTCCCACACAGGAGCCTGTTCAAGATTCACACACACTCTCAGTTGCATCTGTTTATTCCCTTAAGGACGAGTTTTCCACATGTTTCTGTTGTTTTCTTTCAGGACATCGATACTTTTGAAGCATTCAAGCCAGTGGTCTGGCAGAAAGTCCCTCCATGGGGATCCTTCCGGAGGACCTCAGGTGGTTTCAGGCCGAGCATCTGGGCAGGGACATGAGAGGACAGCATCCCCTTCCATGCGGCCAGCTGCCGGGTCACCTGGGGACCCCCTGTACTGTGTAAAGGTCCTTTTTCTCTTTGGGCTGAATAAGTAGCCTGTGGGGGCTACTCTGAGATACCCGGAGCCCCAGCAACTCCAGGGTTCTCACACCCACTGGTGATGTCTGCCTAAACCGAATAGGACTACAATGGTTGCAAAGAAGATTTTTCTACCTTAGAAAATCTTCTCTTCTCTCTCAGACCCTCTCCCCTCGTTTCCCCTTCCATCCCCCCAACTCCCTCCTCTTGGGCCCCCAGCCACCGCCGTGTTTCTAAGTCCACCCACGGGACCCAGCCCTTGGCACAGGGGGTCTCTCTCACACCATCTCGTCCTCCGTGGTTCCCCAAGCCCCATTCTCTGCTGTCCCCAGGCAGCTCTCAGCCCCCCTTTGTCCACTTCCCGCTCATCTCCCAGCCCACGGCCCCTCACCACCCCCCCCCAGTCACATGACTCCGCTGTCTACAGGCTGGTGCCTCCCAGAGGTCAACTCTCAGGGAGGTCCTCACCCAGGACACCAGACCCTTGGCGGCTTCCCCCTTGGATACTAAGGAGTACGTCAGATTGCAAACGCCCACCCGTGAACTGCTCAACCGTCCCACACGGCTCCCTGAACTAGAGTCGACGGCAGTGCCTTGCTGCTTTGGGGGGGGCATGGGGCTGAACAGCAGCCCCCCAGAAAGACGGGTCGAGTCATCATGCCCAGGACTTCAGAGGATGGCTTTATTTGGAAATAGGGTCCCTGCAGATGTGAGCAGTGAAGACGAGGTCATGCTGGGCTCTAACAATCCTCCGAGCAGGGTCCCTACCAAATGAGGAGGGACAGAGACAAGGACACACGGGCAGATGATGCCGTCGCCACTACATTGTGTGGGTCTCCGCATGAGGATCAACTTCCGCCCACCCTGGGTGCTCCGTGTTATGGCAGCCCCCGGGGAAACGGATCCATTAGGCCAAAATCCTTGGGGTCACTCTGATCTCTGTCACACCTCAGCCTGGGCGAGAATGCTGGCGGCCCTCCCTTCACTATCGGTAGCTTCAAGCCGCCCACGCCCACTGGCCCACTGCTGCCCCCTGGCCTCGGTCAGGGTCACCTCTCACCCCACCCACAACAATGACCCCATTACTGGTCTCCCTGTTTCCACCCTTGCCCTCAATCATTTGCTCGCCACAAGGAGCCCGAGCGGCCCCTGCACAAAACACTCAGCGGCTTCCTGTCTCCCTGCAGGAAAAGCCAGAGTCCTGTGCGGTGACCGTGGGGGCCTCATGCCCTGTCCTACCATCCAGGCTCCCTCCGCGCCACCCGCCACCCCCGTGCCCCTGTGCTTCGGAAACCCCACATCTGCTGCTCCCTCGGCCTGGAATGCTCTTCCCCGGACACGGAAGTGACAGACCTTTACTCTAAAATCACTGTCCCTTCACACTCCCCGTCCCCTCGGTGCCCTGTCTGCCAGGGAGCAGCCTGCCTGTTTCTCTCTGCTCCCTCCACACCTCGCCAGCCCGAGGACAGCGATGTTAGCCTGCCCCACTCACTGCCCTATCTCCAGTCCTCGCTGCTCAGAGAATACTTGCTTCATTCAGTAAGTAGGGCGATGGAGGGTCGCAGGAGGGCTCTGGGCTGGGGAGAACCCAATCAGAGATTTCCAAGGTGACAGGGTGAGGACAGATGGCCTCGAGACAGCAGAGGAAGGAGTCAAAGAGGATGAAGAAGGTGGCTGAAAAGTCTGATCTAGACTTATAACCTGATCACTATGTGCCTGGGGGCTGTGCTAAGGGCCCCTCGCCCCAGCAGGTAGGAGCTGTGACAGCCCCTATCTTACAGAAGAGGAAAGGGAGACTCGGGAGGTTTTCAAGTAACTTGTTGAAGGTCACCAGCCAGTGAAGCCGGGACCCGAAGCCAGTGCCGTGAAGCTCCAGCTCCTAGATTTCCAGCACATGAATGCGTAGCTGAGAAGGAAGACAGGAGCAGGGGAGGCTGGCCCCAGGGCAGCCTGGGGAGAGGGGGCAGTGGCTGTAGAGACAAGAGGGAAGCAATCATAGTTTGAGGCTCACTGTTTGGCTCCTGTGTCCCCCCCAGTCATCCATTAGACCGAAAAATAAAAACCCAAACCCCCAAAACCATGGGCACAGAAATGACAGCAAGCAGGGGGCAGCCTGGGCCCTGGGCAGGTGGCTGTGGACACGATGGCCCAGATTCCCGATGGCAGCCTGAGCGCCAGGTGCCCCCCGCTGCCACACCCTCCTCAAATGGTCTTCAAGTGTGTTCCTGGGGCTTTGGGCAGGCTGTGAGTTGTGCCCTTCAGCCAGAGCCACTGTTTCTATTCTCATTTTATCTACTCCAAAATAGCATGAAAACCACTATCCTCAGTCACAGCTCTGCCGCCCGCACCGTGGCGTCCCTGGGGCGCTGCAGACAGAGTGAGCATTGGCTGTGCGGCTTCTGGAACCCCCCCTCCAAAAGCTGCAAACTTCTCCTCTTGACAATGAATCTAGGGAAAGCGCCCACCCCACTTCAGCCCCTTCTCCGCAGGAGCCCCACAGTCTGCCAGCTAGGCAGCCATCCCCCACCCTTGCAGGCAGCCTGGCAGCCAGCCTGGCACAGGTACCCCCCCACTTCCAGGCCTCTTGTGATTTCCCTGACAGCTTCATTTTGCTGGTACCAGGCTTGGAACAGAGCGGTGGGGCTGCTGACCTTCGGGTCACCCAGGCCCTAGTCGCACAGTGGGGGATGACATGGCAGGACCCCTTGCTAGGTTGGAAGGGTCCCGCAGAGGGCCTCTGGGACCCTTCCAGCCCAAGTCCCTGGTTCCCTGCCACAAGCCTATCTTTAAACCAATCTAATATACAGACCATCGATTTTCACATGAGAATTCACTCCTGACAGCAGATTCAGCATTCAACAACTATTTATCAAGCACCTACTGTGTGCCCACCCTGTGAAGGTACTTGTCTCCCTTGAGACACTCGGGAATGCTCATTTCCTGTCACTCTGGCGGGCTCTGGGGAGTCTCACCACAGCTCCTATTACTACTAACATAATATTGTTACCATGGCTACTACTGATGGTGGTGATGATGGGAGCCTGTGCCCGGCCTGTGGCTGACCGCCTCTGCTCCCAACCTCCCAGCAGCCCCCGCACTCAGGGACAGCAGGACATGTGAGGGGCAGGCCCCAGATCTGAACCAGGTAGGTGTTTCTTCACTTAACAGGTCTGTTGACAATAAACTTCCAGGAACCCCCACCCCCACCCCAAGAATCACGAGCCTAACTGGGAGCTCAGGTTGGGCTGGGCACGGCCCTCTTGCTCCGAGTCTCTTCCCCCACCCCTTCTCATACCTCCATCCCCAGACGGCAGGGTCTCCACAGCTCCCTTCAGGAACCAGGGTCTAAAGCAGGGCAGTCCCTTCCCAAAGCCAGACTCTTGGACCTTCTCAGACCAAGGTGCCTACTCTCCACCTTGGCTGCCCTCGGAGGGCAGCAGCACCCCTGCCCGCGGGGGA